CCCAAAAATTGAATTACCATTTTGTCTTGTATCTTTGAAATGGGTGCTCCTGCCTTTGCCAAAAACTAATCAGCAGAAATCTTGGCAATAAATCATATATACTCTAGCACCAAATTTTAATTAATGAAAATATCTAAACACAGGTTTTAAGAGCTTTCTTAAATATATCCAGTTTTATGTAGGTCTGTATGGCCAATGCAAAATTTTGTAGATTTTTAATATAGTCATTTGGCTTAGCATATATCTACCACATTTTTAAGTAGAATATACCATTAGTTTTAGTATTCATATATTTACTCCATAAACTATTGCATATATCTATATATATACATAGATAAATCTATAGTAATATAAATTATTAACTTCCGATAGGGCAAGTTATAATAGGCAAAAAAAAATCGAAAATAATTTGTTTTATATATCTTTACGTTTCAAAGGTTTCTGAACATTTTTGCATACCTTAGAAAAAATTGATGTATGTGTTTGTGTGTGTGCGGATACAAATTTTTGTCGACGATTTCGGGAACACTGATGAACCGATTTGAATAATTAAAAAAATATTCGATTTGCTTATTGAACATATGTACATCAAATTATCATATCTTTTATAGAGATTTTAATAATGTGTACACATTTTGTGTAATTTTTTTTGGGTTCCGTACCAAGATTTTTAATTACGGTACGGAAAGATCCAGCAATTTGCCTTAAGGCACACTGTCATGTACCCCACTAGTTTTTTTTAATCTGAAGCTGTAACAGTAAATGCTAATACAATATTTACCCACGTTTTGATACAATACTGAACCATCAATGCAAGTCTAATGTTGAAACTTCCAACCTCCTCTCCAAAGTTGGACAATGTCGAACATGGAGCAATGTTCCACGAAGGACGTTATATAAACGTATGGGGTTTATAGTATCATGTGTCTGTATGATGGGCAGAGGCAAAACTTGAAGTTGACACGTCTTTTCTAAAGGACGCCCAAGGGAGGTCGAAACAATCATCGGGCAAAAATGAACGCGTCCTAGTGGAAAAAGACGTTTTCTCTATAACACCTAGGTGGAAAATGTGCTTTGCATCGGTATAGAGAGAACTGACATGGCGCTATTTGTGCAATGTTTCTTGACGTAAAAATCTAGAACTTTGTGCATACTAAGGGTTACACTAAAAGCCCATTTTAGAAGAATATTTTTATGGAAAATTATTTGGTCAAACCGATTGTGTAATTACTAATTATGTATGAATTTTTAAAACTAAAGATATAAGATGCTTATTCAAACTATTAAGCTCTTTTTCTAATTTCTGTTTCATGAAATAATATGAAATAATAATTAAATTCCTATTTTTATACATGCGTGGTAGTGAAACAGAATATAACATGATAGTGAACAAACAATATATCCAAGACTATAATAAAATCCATTCGGAATTAAATCTATGGTATTAAAATAAAAATACTAGCAAATAGTCTGACTGATATTGAAATAATAGCAATTGTTTTTTCCGATCCAATGTTATATTTGGTATTTTCATATTTTGTTGGTCAAAAGTTTTTGTATTTTACAAGCATTTTTTTAAGTTTGCCTACAACCACAAATTAGTACAATTTATTTTTAAATCACATTTATTGATTTCAATTAAGTACAATTTTACATATTGACTTATAAAGGGTCAAATTCTTGTATAATAATCTAAAAATTGATTTATTTACATAATTTTACAAAATATGAAATATAATCGTAATTCTAACTTTGTTCAATATAGAATAATATTTGATAGACCATGAAACTTAATCAACATGATCTATTTTAATTTTAGGCCTAGAATTCTTTGAAATATGTCTCAAATCTTACAAGTTCAAGAATTGCTAGTAATCTAAAAAATAATGTTTAAAGACATACTAATTAGTGCTCATTCGTCATTTCTTCTTTTATTTCTTTATTTGATATGTTTCATAAATATTGTATTTCAGTCAGACAATTACCTTGTCTTTAAAATCGAAGCAATCTTCTTACATTTTCATTAATATTCTCTCATTTTTCTCTAATAGCTAATATGTTAACTAGTGGGGTGTATGGCATTGTGCCTTAAGGCAAATTGCTGGAATTTTCCGTACCGTAACGAAATATTCGAGGAATATTAAATGTTTTCAAATAGTTTATTATAAATACTGTAACATCGTCTAATATTTATAAGAATTATATAAACTGAATTGCAAAGTTGAAATTGTTTGTTTAAAGTATAATATGTATAATAAATAGTCAGAATTAAAAATAAAATCAAAATTATTTTCGATATACAAAAAAAAATTTTTCAAATCAATTATTTTGTTAAAACAAGCAGAAAGTTCTTTGAATAATTTAAATTGGACGCTTAGTTATCTCAAAAACTGTCATTTTTTGCACATTTCGCTCTGTATCTTCGAAATGGCTGGGCCTGTCTTTGCCAAAAACTAATAATCACTTCTCCCAATCATTACTAATTGAATGTTTTTTAGATCAATCAAATGCGATGCTCCGTTCTTTTAAAAACTTGATTTCTATTTTCTGCACTCTTTGCATTTTATCTCCGTAACTGCTGGAACTGCCTTTGCCAAAAACTAATCAGCACATCTCCCTATCAAAAGGAATCAAATGTTTTTTGATACATTCAAATCGGTTGATTTGTGTGCCCGAAAACGTGAACAAAGAATTGTATTCATACATGCATACACACACACATCCATTTTTTCTGAGGTATACTAAAATGTTCAAAAACCTTCAAAACGTCGAGAAACGCAAACATTTTCAATTTCGATTTTTGGACGATTACAATAACTCACCCTACGCGAAGTTAAAAACATATACTCATACGTCTGATTTTAAACATAATAAAAATCTCATATATTATAATTTGAATGTAAAATACACCAGTCAAAAATTTCTGAAAAATAATATAAATACAGTCCAGATAACTGGATAGATTTTCAAAATACTTGAAATTCAATTTTAGATTATCATTGGTCACTTTAGTTCTATCAGTAGGTATTTTTATTTTATTATCGAATTTATGTACTTACTTATAATAAATCAAGTTTTATGAATATTTTAACATAAATCCATTTTCTAAAACTTAAAAACTTCAAAGTTGCCTTCGATTTTGCTACAATAGCTCTAAATTCAATTTTGATACGATAGCTATATCTATAATTTCTAATGATATCCATTTGAATTATATATAACATTTTACGTTCTTTATAAATTTCTTGTATTCTTCTATAACTAAACCCGGTACTAGTTTGTATATTTATATAAAGTCTACTTGCATATTTTTTACAAACAAACTGATAAATGATCTTAATACTTCAGAGAATTTTCCAAATATTGTTCTAATTATCTTCATATTTGCTATAGAATATCCTAAAACATTAAAAAAACATTACATTATAAATTTGTTTTAAGTCCTTAATTCTATGTCGCAAATGTTTGAAAATTAAAATATTTACTTGTATTTCAATTAATCAGGACCTAAACAATTTAATATTTCATGCTTTATTTAATTCTACACGCGCACATTTTCATACAAATAACGCGCGATCGAAAAATATTTTCATCATATTTTTCAAAATTCAAATCTCCCGCTGCTTCAACGAATTGTTTAAATCATCAACAAAGACATTTTCTTGCTACATTCAGGATATAACACTCCGAAGAGCCATCAGCGGATAGGTGTTGAAAAAAGGAACTAAGATAGATCGCTTTATAAAGAATATCCTATCTACAATATGAAGTTTGATTTATCTTTGTTTACTCTTTCGCAATCTGACTCTGGAGGGGATGGACAGTCTTTCTCTTTCTGCAACCGCCAAGCGGAAGACATCTCCCATACAGGTGAATCATGCACGTGAGTATAAAATAAAATTTATTTTGATTTTATTACGTTGCATATATTTATTTGATCCGAGTTTAAATGATAGTAATGATGACTTATGTTTATTAAATAGTACTTTTATTATAATATATTAACAAATATACACTGGATTAAGGAGAATCGCTAGGTCTCAAGGGTCGAAACAAAATTTTGCGTATATTTTTCGAACGTATTTCTCACGCCTTGTTGACAAAGGCGTCTTGTATTTGGTAATTGTTGTGCATCGGCTTTAATTAACATCAATAATTTATGAGTTTATTTTTAATTATTCGCTTTAAATATATTCTAAAATATGTACATAGAATTTTTTTTATGTTTTGATTTTTTCAATATTTTAATTCATTCCTCGTGTGTACCTTAGAGTACTTTCTCGTATATAATAATTTGTACGCATCGATGTATTGGTGTTTAAATATGTGTTATTTCAATTTTAATTAATAGTATTAAATAAAGTTAATATTTTTCATTATTTGTATTTTTCTACCTGTATCGAGAGCATGTGCGTTGATTTGGGCTCGCCCATAAGTAAGCGGTTAAGAGCGACGGGACTTGTGTCAGAGGTCCCGGGTTCGATGCCCACTTCGAGCAGCCTGTTGTCAGGCAGCAGTGACAACGATTTTCACTTGGAAATATAGATAGCAATATGTTTCTAAGTGAAAATAGCCCTTGCCCGGCATTGTTGCACCAATAAAAAAATCAGCCCTATTAGATTAATTCTAATAACAAAATCATCAAATATGGATGGATTAAACATTGGGTTACCATCTAAAAAATATGAAGTGAAGAGAAGTTTCACCGAACAGCTCATAGGACGTAAGGTTCTGATTGCTGTTAAAAAAAATATTCAAAAAAAAGTGCGTTGATTTTATTATTAGTATTACAATTTTTATTTTAATATTACTACGGGCTTTGTTAATTTTTGTTCTTCAAATGCCAATAAACTAATTCTAGAATGCATTCAAGATTTCATTTATATTTTCCGTGTTAATTGTTAGCAATTTGAAGTTGTACCTTAAGTAAGTCAATGAAAACATATATGGCATAGAAGCACAATTCAATATTTATAATACTAATAATACTATTTTATTTACAGATCTGTTGTCTCTGTGGGATCTACATTTGTAATGAGACTCGGGTATGTATCAGAATATAAAATTAAATGTTATTTAAATAATGATATGTGATTTATTTATATTTAAACTTTTTTTTCAGATGTTTCTCCAATTCGCGTTTTAGTTTCGCGTACGTTTGTGTTTAGTGTGACTTTTTACATTATTTTTTTATTAATTTGAGGTTCAAATTTAGTGTGTAATTATAGTGTATAATAAGTGCTTGTTAAAATTATAGTGCCTAGACAATATTAAAATATGATGTATTTATATTGTTATATAAAGTGGTGAGTTATTAAATATTTTATCATTATTTGTTCATTTATTTCAATACTAATTCGTTACCTAATCTGCATATGCAAATTATACGAAATAACATATACAATTCCAAAGAAGGTTCGTGATATTAGATAACAATATTATTTACGCAACTTTGGTCCTAACAAGTTTTAACCGTCTGAAGGTGTTATGACTTATTATAATTTATTATTATAATTAGTTAGCTAGTTTTTACAAATAGAAGTGCAAAATGGTATCAAAAATATTTTGAGAATTTATAATTTATTCGTTTATCTACATTTTCATTGATAGTTCAATACGAAAAATAAATTATTTGAGATTCAGTTTGGACATATCGATTGAGTCATACCAATGACTATACAATTTTTCGTATCAAAAACAAGCACACAATATTGAAAAAAAAACTGCCCTATCGAAGCCTATATACATTTTTTTGCGTTATTACAGTTATTTTATAGCTTATATACTACTGTGTTATTTCTGCCTCACCGGTGAATGTGCACATTCACTAAAATATTCACATTATCCGTACACACATATATATATATATATATATATATATATATATATATATATATATATATATATATATATATATCATTATTTTAAGATATCCCACTATCAGGTTGATGCAAAATGAATTTATTTTCGTAATTATTAACAAGTTGTGAACTTAATTAAGTATTAGAATTTTTTTTAACGAATTAATATTTGTAGGTGACCTTTCCCATTTGTAAAATATTTGGAAGCATTTTAAAACATCCTCTGATTTTTAATTAATATGAAACTTCGTACACTTGTTTCAACTTCCCTAACTGGCTTATTGGTCGAGTTAATTGCTCTCATGCACGAGATAAATCCCAACTTTCTGTACACGTAGCTACTTGCTTTGTACAAATATAGTAAAGCTATGGGCTTTATATTTATGGTACTTGAAAACATTCATATACCTTTATATGTGCTTCAAACCTTTTCTTGCTCTAAATGCAAATTTTATGCATGAAATGAATTTATTTCAATTTGGAAATGGTTCCCTATATGAGTATACGTGCAGTAGGAAATGGAGTTACGTCAAAAAAAGATACTCGTAATAAAGTTTTAAAGTTTTTTTGTCTTGTTAATGTTTAACGTAATACACTCTGTTTTGTCATGAATATATTTATCTAGACATCAAAATACATATATGAATTTACGCTTCTATCCATTTATAACTTTTTAAAAATTCTTGTTAACTTTCATAATTACTATGTATGGAAAATTAGCTTTGTCAATGAAATATTCTACCAACTTGTTTTACAGAATTGAATATTTGATTGTCATCTGAAGAACCTGAATGTACTTTGTCAGTTTTACATGAATTGACCCTTTTTGGTAATCCCTTTGCAGCAGGTTTTCAAACAAATATAAAATGCAGTAACTTTTTGAAGGAAGATTTAAAGCAGTTGTTCTCAACTTAATAAATCATTTCATATAATAAATAAATAAATATATATATATATAGTGATAGTAATGAATTAAAATGGTTTTATAAATAATACCAAACACTTTTCTTCTACATTAACTTTATATTAAAATTCTAAGTTACATTTGTTTTGAGACTGTGATTTATTCCATGATCGGAATGTTTAATCTTAGTCATTTCATGTCATTTTTTACTCATTTTTTTTTTATAATAAAGTGATTATCAAGCATCTTATCATTATACAATCTTAATTACGCGCCAACTTTTCAAGATACCTTGCCAATACACTTTAGTAGGTTTCTTAAGAGGCCTTCGCAAATTTACCGATATTAAAAATTTAAAATTCATAGTTTAACAAAAAGTCTTGATTCTTGAAAACATGGGGCAAATGTGTTTTTTTTTCTGTGGTCCTAGAAATATTATTTACGGTTACGAATCCAATAAATTAATAAAAATTTATCACAACCAGAAAATGGTCACTATTTAACCTTTTAGACTCATAAGTTCTAAAAACGTGATTTTTTTTTTCTAAATTTATTCAGGACAGTTATGTCAATCTTATCACCCAGTATCGTCTCGACTTTAAGGTCGTACCAGACCCTGTATATTATATGACCAATATCCTAAAATATTGGATTCATTAACTTTCCATACATTTCGGCATATAATTTTGCCATCATCAATGTTATAATAAATAATTACTCCAAAAATGTCAGTAACTGAGAAATAATTAGTGGTGATTATATTTGAATAGCAATGATTTTTACAAATTTTGAAAAAACTTGACATTAGCACGCTCTACTAAATTGATAAATACGTGGGTTTACAGGGTTTCACATTTTGTGTATAGGGTTTCACAAAGATGGTTCCAGAAAAAAATAGAAATATATTTTGGTTTAAACATAAACATATTTTTTATCTATTATTATTGACTGCTTATATTATGGCATAGCATCAATTATGTATACATTTTATTCATTATTATAAATGTAATTCAATTATTTATCTAATATTTTTTGCTGTTTTTCCATTATTATCTTAGTAATTGAGGTGAAATTACAACTTTTAGCGCAAAGAATTTGGAGTTGGCTGGAGATTGAATAGACTTTATTATAAAAAACTTAATGAGGAACATTAATATTTTAATACTTTCAGCTCTTTTATTTTGAAATATCTAAATTAATCTTACTTTAATTAGTAATTATTTAATAAGCATTACAAGAGCCAAACATAATCTTATCATTGACTAGGGTTTGCTGGAATCCATTGATGTCGGTTCCCAGACTGTCGAAAATACTTTTATTTCTTGTTCTTCGAAACCGCTGGACCTGCCTTTTCCAAAAACACTAATCAGCACTCCTTATCAATAGGAATCGTATGCATTTTGAAATCGGTTAATTTGTGGTGCCAAGAACCTGGACAAAATATTGTATCCATACACACATCCACGTACATTGATTTACATTATATACAATATTATCAAAAATATTTATCCATTTTTATGCAAAAACACTCATCCATTTTTTGTAAGGTATGCTAAAATGTTCAGAAACCTTCGAAACGTGAAGATATGCAAAAAATTTCATTTTCGATTTTGAGACGATTTACCCTATGGGAAGCTGAAAAATAAAAAAATGTATATTTTAAAATTCCTTTATATTCCATTGGTGGTGGGATTTAATTTTAATTTGCAACAGATGACAACATGAAAACTTTACAGATCTTTATTTCTTCCTAATAACGTGACTTACAAAATTTTATAAATTGTTTTAAAGTCTCATATTAAAATTATTTCCCTATGATTTCAAGTTTATTATTTGCAACGTTTTGCGGTTTGGTTTCGTCCCTCGCTCGTCGTTCGGCCACATCTGTCTACCTTAGTGTCTTACTTGTCTGACCCTCTTTTTAAGCGTTGTTACGCAATGGCCTTTAAATCTGTAGGAGGTTTCCTAAATCCTCAGACAGTATTTGCAAGGGTGTCATTCTACTTACTGAGGGAAAGGAAAGGAAAGGAAAGGAAAAACACTTCGCCTTTTTATTCCGAATGGGTAATTCGGAAAACTTTTGTTGTAAAAGAATTTTTTGCCTCTCTTCATCGAGGTTGAGTTGATATACGGACTACGGGAAGTTGATTTATTTGATTTGGATTGAACATGTTTTTCAATTGTATTTGTTAGATTTTTGTACGTTAAATCCTGCGTATATAATTGTGGCATATTAAAAATTCATATCATACTTTACATTATTCACTCCCATCGTAGAACTAAAATTTCTATAAAATGTATCTAATTTAAATGCTTTTATTATACATTTTTTATCAGGCGGAATATTTTAATCAGAAAATACATTATAAAATGCAGTTATTTGAAAATGATGAAACATTTTATATATGGGGATTTTAATACTAGAATGTTAATTCCATGTAAGGTGAAATAATTTATCATTGTTGTGTTTTAATGATATCATTCAATAAAAATCATTCTATTTTGAGAGTTTGCGATCAACACATGTCTTTATTAATCAAGAAATTCTTGTTTGAGATATTTCTAATTAAAATTAAATGTAATTTAAAAAAATATCTTGAGTTATTTTGTACACGTAGGACAATTGGCAGGGGTTTTACTGGGTTTTAACTTATTTTTCATATATGTTTGCATATTTAATTGGCTTAAACTGTGAGAATTTTAGAGTTCTTACAATTTCAATACAAAATACAAATTTGGAGTAGGTGAAAATTGCAATAATAGCACTTGTAGTATTTTTAACTGTCGCTTTCACAAATTTCTACTAGCATTTTGCTTTAATTAAACTAAACTATGAATTCATGGGTTAGAATTGCAACTTTAGCACTATATCCATTGAATTTCTAAAATTAAAATATCACTGGTTTTAGTACATTTATAGCAACAGACAATATTATGAAAAATTTTAATTTTATATGTTTTTTTTATTATTATTTTTATTCAACTACTATATCCTCTATTATTTGATATGATAAAGTTCTGGCATAAATTATAACAATTTGATGCCCTAATTATAACTAAAATAGTCATGTAACTAGTTATTTAATTCATTCTAATATAATGATGATTTAAAATGAATGCCTACATAGTTTTTTTGAAATTTTTAAAGTATTTTGAAAATTGGTATTATTTTTGTACTAAGAATTTTGTTTTGATTATTTTTGTTTATTTTACCACACAATGATTGATCCCAAATACAAATATTACTAATTTAACACTTTCGACTCGGGAGTCGGACTGCCAGTCGGTACGCTGCGCTCGGAATATTATAGTGCTATACTTATCTCTCAACTCGGAATTTTTTTTTGTATCGGATTTTTTCAAAATGTTGTTATATTGCTATTAAATATAGTTATTATGATAATAAAATAGAAAATTTTGAAAATTAAAAAAAATTGCACTCAAAACCATGCTTTATTGTTTAAAAAATCATTTCTTCACAGATCTTTATTAGAATTACGGGGATCATGAGCTAATAAATTAATTTTGTTATATATTTATT